TTTTTCAGCTACTCTTCTCTCTGATTTTTCTCGTGAAGCGCGGGAACTGAAAGGTCTCGTGCCTTCGACTTTTATTTATAAAAGTGGAAATTACATCCATTGCCCTTGTTTTAATAATATTTCCATTAAGAGTAACGTTATTTTTAGTTGCTCACTATGAGTCTACGATAGTCGTCCTACATGACATACATAGGTGGTCATTTGAGATATTAATTTGATAAATTTTTATTGACTCATGTATCAAATAATCACTTACAATTTATATGTCACGTAGAGTGACCGCTGTAGCGAACGAATGCGAATAACATTATTCTTCTATTAATAATGATTTCTTGAAGTAAAAGTGGTTAAATTTTAGTCAACTGAGAGGGGGTTTTTTAAGGGCAACTCCAACGTTGCACCAAATCCCCATTTGCACCAAGTATTTGGTGTAATGTCACTCCAATCCAACACCAAATTTTACACAATTTTGCACCAAATGTTTAATGTCCTCTTTGCCCTTCTTTTCCATTTTGCACCAACTTCTGTTAAGGGTATTTTTGTCACTTTCTTGTTATGCAACAAATTTTAATTCTTAATTAATTATTATTATTATTATTATTATTATTATTATTATTATTTAATGTTATTATTAATATTTTCTTAGTTGTGATTTTTCTATTAATTATATTACAATCATTAAAATTTATTAATGAATTCAATATTTCGTTAACGAAATGCAATTATTTATTTAATAATTTATGTAGTAGTAAACTTAATATATAAGTAATTTTTCATATAAATAAATTATTCAGAATGAAAAAAATGAAAGAAAATAATTATATGCCGTTCATTTGGTGTAACTTTTGATGTAATGAGTTGGAGATAATTATATACCGTGCAGGTTGAAGATGGCCTAAGCATTGTACAAGAGTAATTCACTAGTTATAAAGCAGTGGCCGATCTAAAGAAAATCATCATCTCTTTCTATTTGGGAACTTGAAGTTGGGTCATCTGATTCTCGAAGTCGGCAGTTTACTCATTCATTGGTTAAGATGGTACCCATATTGAATGAAATCCGTGTTCAACACTCATCTAAAACTAGACGATAAACCCAAAGGAGAGAGAGGGCGATTGAAGCACTAGATTTGACAAGTTGACTACTCCATTAAAGTATCGAGTACACCGCTTGTCAATTTGATGAGTAAACTTCATTCTTTTGCTCTCTTCTTTCTAAATTTTCTGCCTGCCTTTTATACACATGCAAAAAACCTCATAGTGTAATTAACCGAATCAATTTCTTAACATTTTTCCATCCAAAAGTATCAGTCACTATTTTCAAATGAACTTTTTTAACTATGCTTAATTATGAGCCCTTATGATCTCAGACACATTGGAATGAAAGGGGTCTTTATTAAATTACTGCTAAGTTAAGATTTTATCAAGGCCGTCCCTAAAATATTTGAGGATCTAGGAGACAAATTATTACGAAACTCTTAAATATAATTTTCTATAAGCGTATTGATCTCTTTAGTATCATTTATGTTCTATTCAAATTGATTTTTTTTATATTATTTTTGAAAAATTAGATGAGCCATATTAAAATAAGTAACTTATTTTTAACTTTCATAAAAATT